CCCAAGCAAAAATATACCACACCTACAGAGAGTTTCCCAGGCTACTAAGGCAGAAATAAAGGAAAATGGAAGTCTCCTCCCCACATCCAGCAATAAAACATAATTAGCTTTCTTTGCAGTGATTTTACCCAAGCAGCAGCACACCCCATGTTAAAAAATAGTTATTTTTTTTCACATCAGTGGTACTTTGGCTACCCAAAGTAAGAGCAAAAGAAATGCTGAAAACAAACGATTATTGGCTCATCAAGGGCCACACCTTTTAACAAACAAGATATGCATTGTCTACTGTGGAGTATGACTTGCATTCCATCTCCAGAATTTCTCATGGTAGAGATACATGCCCTGCACCTCCATGGATCATCATTCCCCAGAGATATTTACTCCTAAATACCCCCTTCCTCTGTGATATATCAAACACTCAAATACATGCATCTCTAGTGCACACCTCACTCCCTTAAAGAACATGCCTGCTCCCTTCCCATGGGAGACCTAGGATTGGACACTTGTCCTATTTCACTACCATCAGTGAGAACTGGTATGAACCCAATCTTTCTTTCTGCTTTAAAGTGACACTCCAGGGTGAGTGGGCAACAGCAAGGCCTGAACCGGGGACCTCTGGATGTAAAAGGAAGAGCTCCTACTGCCTGACCTAAAGAACCCAGCTTCTGCAGCACAAAGGCTGTAGCCCTGTATAATCAGTGGTTCTCAAACTTTTGTACTGGTGACCCCTTTCACATAGCAAGCCTCTGTGTCACCCTCCCCCTTATAAATTAAAAACACTTGTTTATATATTTAACACCATTATAAATGCTGGAGGCAAAGCGGGGTTGGGGAGGAGGTTGACCGCTCGTGACCCCCCATGTAATAATCTCACAACCCCGAGGCGTCTCGACCCCCAGTTTAAGAACCCCTGCTGTATATGGACTAGCCCCTAGAAGGGGGTCAGGGCAGCACTGTATAAACGTGGGTTACACACTGAAGAGAAGTATGATTTCTATCATGAGGAGAAACAGCACAGGAAGGTCTCCCTCAGTCTGACACCTCTCCTTCAGAAGAAGAAAATCAAATGGAAAGTGCTTTCACAGATTATTTTACTCCCACTGGAGCATACATCTGATTGGGAAACTTCACTTAGCCTCTTTCTCCTTTCAACAGGAATCTGAAAATGGGGAGAGAAGTCCTGTCTGGCCTGGTTCTTGCTTCCCCCCCTCATCTTGAAGTAAGAGAGAAGGAACACCAGTGTGTGCATATCTCCTCTATGTTATAAACCCAGGCACATTCGAGCAGGCCGGGGGAGGGGCAGGAGAGGTTAACAGGGTTCCCAAAGGGGAGGAATTGAGATCTCCAAAGCAGGGGCTCTCATACTTCTGTCAATGCTCCATAGCTTTGACAGAGACACCTCTGAGCTGAAGAGCTGTACCTGGTCCAGCAGAACAAATACCATACTTGACAGGCTCCCTAACCTAGAAATACTGGATGTGCTGGAATTATTAGGCAAGGACGGACCCTACAACCCATTGCCTAGTTAGCTCACTCAACTGTCCCATCTCATTTGTTGATGGAGAACTAGAGTCCTCCACCCCATCTCCCTGGTGCACCAGGATGAGATGAGTTGTGGGGGAAAACAAGTCCCCATTCTCTACCCGTACCCAATCATCCCTTTTCCAGCAGGGCTTCCTCTGCCTCATCAGAGTCCTGGGGATGCCAGGGTGGTGAGACACATACCAAGGTGTTCTTGTTCTCCAAGCCTCCCTTCTCCACACTATTCCCTCTGATCATTCTCTCCCCTGATCTCCACCTCAAACATCTCCAGCTACTTCCATATTCCTGTACACCTCAGGGGAAGTCAGGGTGGGTTCTTGACTCTGCAATATAGAACCATAGAATCGTAGAACTGGAAGAGACCTTGAGAGATCATCTAGTCCAGACCCCTGAACTCATGGCAGGACTAAGTTTTATCTAGACCATCCCAGGTTTGTCTAACCTGCTCTTAAACATCTCCAATGATGGAGATTCCACAACCTCCCTGGGCAATTTATTCCAATGCTTAACTACCCTGACAGTTAGGAAGTTTTTCCTAATGTCGAACCTAACCTGCCCTTGTTGCTTATCCTATTAATTGTCCTATTAAAACCCTAGGAAATTCTCATTAACAAAAACTTCATTAAGTTTCCCATCCCCCCAAAATAAACCCTAAATAGCAAGGAAATCCCAAGTTAGGGGACATCTCTTAACACTCGTGCAGCATATTTCCACTGACAGTAAAAATTCTGCACTTCACAACAACTCTCTTCTGCTTCCAACAAATAAAGAAACACTACATATTAATCTTCCTCACAGGATAATGTAAAAACCCATACTTCCCCCACAAATACATAACACACCACACACTTGAATGAGGCACAGGTCCCGTGGAAAAAAACGTGTAAGATCACATAACTAAAAACTGTATCATAATGCACAGGCAGGTGCAAAGGCCGAATTAATGTTGCACAGGCACCTTTATTCTGGAATTTCTTAAATTTTGATAGGCTGACTTTATAACTTAATAACGTTCTTTAACTTAGTTTTGTGTGCATAATCCCTAGGTTTTTAAAAAAGAAAACTGAAAAAAAATCCATCATGTGGTACCATATTGACACCACCTGGGTCACTAGCAGTATTGAACCTTATGATCCACCAACACAGACCACTACCACTTGAGTTAATGGAATAACTCACAGCAGTAGTTTGTTGTCATCTTCTAAATTGACCAGCACTAGAAGGTGATGAAGAGATGCTTTGCCAGGGGGTTTCACAGATATTTGGTGACAGCAAAGAAATGGTGAGACTAAGGAATCATGGGTTCCATTTCAGGATCTGGAGAGGAGTGCATTCTAATGGTCCCAGACCTTTCTGCCCATCTCCCCCCTCCCTCCCTCCCAGTCCTACTCTCCTTGACCAGCCAATCCCAGTTCTCACTCTGCAATCTGGCTCCTCATCAGATCTGTCCTCCTTCCCCTTCACCTCCTTCCATTTGCCTCACTAGTTCCCAGTCCCAGATTCCTTGCCCACCCAGTCCCATTCTCCCCGCAGCTCTCAGTCCCAGTCTCCTTGCCCAGCCAGCCCCAGCTGCCTTCCTCATCATCCTCCAGTCCCAGTCTCCCGCCCCTCACCCCACAAGCTCCTTGTAACAAGCTGCTCCCCCTCAAGTCTGGCTCTTATCCCCTCTGCATTTGAGTCAGGCAGCTTCTTTCTCCAAGCTGCCTGGGTGTCAGCAGGAGGAACACAGGAGAGAGATGCTCCCACCTTCTGGTGCCCAGAACCAGCCCATACTGGGGTAGTAGCACTGCGTGTTATTAAGGCAGCCCAACCCTTTCCATGATAAGCAACAGAAAGTAGGGTCTTATAACTTTACCAAACTTCACCATTTGGGCTGAAATTCGCCATGTTGTGGAAAATTTCAGCCAAAACAGTTCCGTTTCTGAGACCAAATGTAGGGAAAAATACATTTTGCAATGTTAAAAAAAAGGGTGACCTTTTCTTTGGAAAGCTCTAGCTTTCAGACTGCACTTGTGCCATTGTCGCAGAGCAACTGAGCCTGCCCCATCCCAGGGCTAGGGGTGCGAAGCTGGACGAATTTCCCAACTGCCAGCTGCTCTGGGCTGTGGTGGGGTTGGCACTGGAACTGAGGTGAGGAGCTTGTTTCTCCTGTGCTCACAATGACCACTCCTGCTGGCATCCAGGTGATGTGGTGCAAGAAGTCACCTGACTCAAATGCAGAGAGGACAACCACCAGACTGCATGGGAGAAGTACCAATGGTTCTCAAACTTTTGTACTGTGACCCCTTTCACATAGCAAGCCTCTGAGTGCGACCCCCCCCCCATAAATTAAAAATACTTTTTTATATATTTAACACCATTATAAATGCTGGAGGCAAAGCAGGGTTTGGGGTGGACGCTGACAGATCGCGGACCCCCCCTCCATGTAATAACCCTGAGGGGTCCCGACCCCCAGTTTCAGAACCCCTGAAGTAGACTGAACAAATAGGTGGGAGGGGGAAACTGCATGAGGAAATTAATAATTCTGTTTTTGGACACTGTTGAATAGTTTGCACTAAATAAAGTCTAGGGCCACACAATGAACAAGGATAAAAAATGAGTGAACATGTAATTGAAGACTGTATCCACAATGCATATGCAGAAGGAGGCCAAATTAATGTTGTCCGAGCAACCTTAATTCTGGCATTTCCTAACTTTTGAGTGTTTGACTTTGCAACCTTAATAATATTCTTTTAACATATGTTTGTGTTATAATAAAATTGTATTATTTATAGCTATAGAGACCTGTAAATAATCACAAGATAATTTGATATTTTTTAAGATGGAGTTTTTTTTGTTTTTTTAAAAGGTGAAAGAATATCTACGCAGAAAGGAGTGCTCCATTACGCAGTTCATACATAGCTCTGAAAGTAAAAAGGAGGAGGTAAATCAGTTCAAGATCTAGAAAGGATGACTAGCTAGAAGGAATTCAAAGGGTATATTTGACTCAAAGGAGGATGTTTTGTTCTTGTTATATTTCGGGGGAATAGCAGTTCTGTGCAGTGGCTAATCTATAAAACAATATAGAACCTTGGACTGAAATTTGTTGGCTTGAAAAGTAAGCATCCCCTGATTTTTATCTTCTTGCTTGTAAACTTCTCTACTTTAAAAGTTCAACTTAATAAAGTTAATTAAACACAATTACCTGAACCTAGGAAGTTTAAGCGTGTTGCATATACATACAATTAAGTGCTAACCATTTTTTTTAAATGTAGCAGGCTCAGAATTCAAGGTGGCAGTTTTGTTTTGTAAACCTAAAGTCATTCAAATACAATAACCACTTTGTAGTGATGAGGAAACAATGTATTCATGGATGTTAATGGCAGGCAATTAACACTTTACAAGTGGGCAACTATATACTTAATTTGTTCAAAAAGTTCTTAAGGTACAGATCAGTATGTGTGGTGGAAGTTTCTTACCAGCTGCTGGTAGATCCAACTTTGCTCGTTTCAGTTCAGACATCGAATTTTGGAGCTGCTCTATTACAAAGTCATCTTCTAAGAAGAAATCCTTGGCTAGAGTCTCCTGAAGAAATTCTACAAGTTCTTCCATTTGTAATTTCAGCAGATGTTCTAGATTGGAACAAGAACATTATTGTGGACAAATACGTTTTTATGATAAAAATTCAAAGAAAAAGTCTACTAGAGAGGTGAAATGCCTTTACGGATTCTTTAACAATTTTGCAAATGGAATGAAACACATCTAACTAATTAAACAAAAAAAAAATCACAGGCAGTTATTTTATACTAGACATTTACTAAGCATGCTAAAAAATACACTCACACATTACCCCTCTAAATATTTTCTCTCTTTTTCGTACCCATATATTTCTCTCTAGGTCAGTGTTTGAAACTTTAAAGCTGAGTCCCTCTTCAGAAAAATGAAACTAATCACACACCCCTAAAAGTCCGATATGAGACATTAAAATCTACAGATTTTTTTTTCATTCATCTTCCATCCCCTGCCCACCTTGGGAAATGGTTCATAATATACTTATCCTCCTTTCAAAATGCTTTGAAGAGCAATGAAAATTTAAGACATTTAAGGTGCCCTCATTTGCAAATGAGTCAGTACTCATTGAAATGAAGGTGGCAGTTTAGAGCAAGAGAGATTGTTTCAGGCTCTCTGCAGATTCAGGTATGTATTGCTGCATCAGTTACATCCAGGTCACATTCTGAAGGTTTATTCTGCATATATATAATTTATATATTATAAATATATAAATAAAATAAAATAAAATAAAATAAAAACAAAATAAAAACATGAACGCCAGTTCTACGCTTAAAAGTTTTAGCAGCATAGCTATGTTAGGTAAGGGGGATGATTTTTTTTTACGACGTTAGTTATACTAGCAAAAGACCTTCTGTAGAAGCAGTTATACTAACAAAAATGATTTTTTTCTGGTATAGCTTATTTTGCTCACTGAATCAGAATATGCTGTACAAGCAGAAACACTTTTTGGACAGTATAAATGAGTCTACCCTAGGAGGGTTTTGCCTGAGTAGCTATAAAAACAAAACTTTTAAGCACAGACAAGACTGAAAGCTGAGTCTCTGGAGAACAAATCAGAGCTTTGACCATGATGCCTCTTCTCTGCCTCCCAATGTGGTCCATTCCTTGGTGCTTCCCCCGTCTTTCCCTTGAGGAAACACGGCTCAAAGGGTATGTCTACACAGCAACGAGACACCCATGGCTGGCCCATACCAGCCGACTCAGGCTCACGAGGCTCAGGCTGCGGGGCTGTTTCATTGCTGTGTAGACTTCTGGGCTCACCCAGGCTGGAGACTGGACACTAGGAGCCTGTGAGGTAGGAGGGTCCCAGAGCTTGGGCTCCCATCTGAGCCTGGAAGTCTACACAGCAATGAAACAGCCTCACAGCTGGAGTCCGATGACCCAGAGCCAGCTAGCATGGGCCAGACGCAGGGTTTTTTTTTTTTTGCTGTCTAGACATAGTCCAAGAGTCTTTGATATTTTTATGTAGTGAGGTGCTATACTGAACATGTTTAAAAGGCCAGTGTTAAGGTAAAAAACCTCCAAATTATCACTATTGCTTCTCAGAGGCTTGAGACTGAACACTCTTCACTTAAAACAAATGAAATCAAACCAAAAAAAGGGGGGTGGGACAAGAATTACATTGGTTTTATGTTTGCAAATAAAGAGGAAGACTCAAATCTGATTCCTACCATTACTTGTTCTTTAGATTCTTGAACATTTTAAGAAGTGTAACAATTATAAACATTCTTCATCTTCAAAACATTTTATGAACTAATAAGCAGCTCCAGAGAGAGAGAGAGAGAGATACCTATCTCATAGAACTGGAAGGGACCCTGAAGGGTCATAGAGTCCAGTCCCCTGCCTTCACTAGCAGGACCAAGTACTGATTTTGCCCCAGATCCCTAAGTGGCCCCCTCAAGGATTGAACTCAACCCTGGGTTTAGCAGGCCAATGCTCAAACCACTGAGCTATCCCTCCCCCCGATGCAGCATCTCCATAGTTAAATGGGGTAAATTACCAAGTGAGATTAAGATATTAATTCTGCAATCTCCTCCACATGGACCGCTGCACTCCCATGGAGCCATAGACACTTCTTTGATGGGCCCATATGACTTATTCAAGGTCACAGAAAACAGCATTGAAACCACGACTAGGGGTAAAATTTTCAGAAGCATCTAAGTGACTTAGGGAGCCCAAGACCCACTTTCAAAAGTGACATATGCACTTAGGAGCCTAAGTCTGATTTAAAGTCAATGTGGCTTGGGCTCCTAAGTCATCTCAGAAAATGGGACATGGATGCTTTTGAAAATTTTACCCTGGCAGTATGATGTTCAGGCTCCTAAATCATATGCTCAGATCATTAGACCAACTCTCTCTCAAAAAAAGCTGCAATACATACAGTCCTTGATTTGTTTGCTTTTAGATTTCAGAACTCCAGTTCAGGTGTTGGCTCCCCTGCTTCCAGTACATTCTAATAAAAACCTACAGCAACCTTATTACTTTTAGGTGTAGGTGATTATCAGTATTTAAAGAGTTTACTCATCAAAATTTAAAGCTTTAACTCATGTCTGTATTTCTTCTTACTGCAAAATATGTGAAACAAAAGCTAATAGGAGTACAATTTCAAACCATGCCTGTGGACTGGAATAAACTTATTGCACTTTGGTAAGGTATTATGGTAATGTCCAGAAGCCCCAGTCAGGATCAGGTCTCCATTGTGCAGAGCACTACACAGATACAGAAATGGTACATTTCTCTAGGTATGGATGTCCATCTAAATAATCAAACAGTTACCACCATGTAGTAAACCTAGGTATTTTGTTTTATATAGCACCTTTTGCCAACAATCTCAATCCACTTGGATAAATTATTGTCCTCATTTAACATATGATAAAACTGCAGCTCTATGAAAGTAGTATCTTGTCAAAGGTCAGAAAGCAATTCAGTGGGAAGTGGGGTCCGAATCCAGATTTCCTAATCTGAGATCCTCCTGCTCTAATCATTGGATAACACTCGTTTTTACTAGAAGCAAAACAGTTCTAAAATGCTTCTGTAGATTTTGAAATACAGACTCTGAAGGTGAACTTAGACTAAGGGCAGGTCTACACTAGAAATTTACATCGGCTCCACTGTAGTGTATCTGGTGAAGACGCTTTAAAATGACAGGAGAGAGCTCTTCATTCGGCTTAATAACTACACCTCTGTGGGAGAGCCTCTCCTGCTGACATAGTGCTGTCTACACTGGGGCTTAGGTCGGTATAATTATAACACACCCCTGAGAAACGTAGTTACACCCAAGTAATTTTGTAGTGTGGACTAGGGCTAAATCTTTCAAAACCGTTAACTTTTCCTTCCAAAAGCAAAGTGATCTTTAAATTAGAGAGACAAGGTGGGTAAGGTAATATCTTTTACTGGTGAGAAAGACAAGCTTTCGCGCTCACACAGAACTCTTCTTCAGGTCTGGGAAACTAACACAGAATATCACTGCTAAATATAAGGAGAAACAGATTGTTTAGCATAAGTAGTTACATATTTCAATGGACCACTCAAGGTGAAGTGGCCCGTTAACACCCCTCCAATCAGCGGGAGGAAAGAAAGGGAGGTGAGGGGGGAAAAGCAGCTGGGGTGGGGTTTGCTAGTAGGTTACAGATTGTTGTAATAATCCATAAATCCAGTGTCTCTATTCAGTCCATGATCTTTAGTGTCTAGGAAAGTCTCTCTCACCAACAGAAGTTGGTCCAATAAAAGATATTACCTCTCCCACCATGTCTCTCTAATATCCTGGATCAACACGACTACAACTACACTGCATACTTGAAAATAAATGAAGTTTAAAAAATGAGTCAGCAATGTTTTCAAAGGAAGTATAGCTTGCATATAATGCTGTAAAATATATTGGAGTCTTACTGTGGAGATTTGTCCAAAGCCATGTTCTGGCTGTACCTTTTTGATATCACATTCAGCATCGTATGGTTAGGACCTCATAAATGAAAATCAAAAGAAATACCTATGGTATTACATATACACACAAAGTACATAAGAATTACTTAAAAGAACATGAAGGCTGCAAAGTCAAGCACTCAAAAGTTAGGACAGATGGTGCTTAATTAATGAACAGTGATTTAATATTTTATTTTAGCCTCACTGTTCAATGTGTGGCCCCCGTGCCTTATTTACTGCACAATATTTTAACCCTGCGCTTAAGACAATTAATTTCATCATGGGCTTTTCTATGGCACTCATCACTAATATCTGAAAGCTTCACAAATATGAATATATATTTCACAATACTCTTCTGATGAGGAACTGATGAGGCCAAGAGAGATAAGTCAAAAGTCTGCTGGTTTTGGATGCTCAGTTTGACATACCTAGGACCTGATTAATTGTACTTTATATGTTCAAAGCAGAGCTCCCACTGACTTCAGTTGTAAGTGGTCAGCAATTCTGTAAATCAGACCCCAGGATCTTAAGTCAGACATCCAGAAAATGAGAACACAATTGCAATCTTAATAGTGTTCTTTTTAAGGTAGTTGTATGTGTGTAATTTTCCTAGTTTAAAAAAACAAACAAACTGAAAATAACCCTAATTTAATCATGCGGCATCATATTGACATCCATATAGCTCATATGCAGGGTTTGAACCTGTAAATCCACCACACATCTCTGCTACTTGAGCTAATGGAGTAACAAAGTAGTAGTAGGCTGTTATCCTCTGTGTGGACCAGCACTAGAGGAGGATGGGACACTTTAACACAGGGTTTCAAAGATATTTGTTGACATCATAGGAATTCCACCTGTGACGCATCAAGGCATGTATCTATGCCATGCCAAGAGTCCTAGACCATTGTAGTATCAGAAGTAACTCAATCATCACCCTTATTCTACAGCTAATTTACATGCAATGATTTCATTGGTTGTATGAGGGAGACTGCACAAATGGTGCATTATCAGGCCCAACTGCCACATCCATGCAACCACAAAGGCTTTCAGATACTAATATAAGATTAATAAACCACATTCTAACTACTATAGGACACTGCAGGGTGTTACCTAATAGGCTTTTAGTGTACTTCCCTAGTGGCTGAAGGTACCATGTCTTTGGCATTGTGTCTCTCAGTGCACCAACAGCACAGTAATGAACAACCTGTTGTAGATTATTGTCATATTAGCCTGTAATGAGTAATTGCACACAGCTAGGAAACTACCACATTGGTTTGCTTTAGGAAGGCAACTGGGGGTGAAGGGGAGAGAATCTGTTTCAGCTATGAATTTTGTCTAAAACTACATTTCACACAATTGTTTTCTGCTGCTTACAATAAGGGGAGTTTAATACCTTATATAACAGCCAGAAAGACTGCCTATGTACCAGATTTTTATGTAGCCAATGGCACTGAGTATACAAGCGAAGAAACAGAGTTAAAGAAAAATTATACAGGTGATTATTTTAGTAGCTGGTAAGGAAAAGAGAAGCAGTATCCATCACAGAACGGCATTAAGTATAGATGGTCCATCAAAGAGTAGAATTAGGCTTAGATGCAGCATGTCATCCCCCATGACAGCTAAATGAAAAAGCTTCTGGAAAATTGTAGTAGGGAAAAGCAAAGAACAGGAAAGGGCCAAACTTGAGACTATTAACCCTCTTTTGATCTAGCAAACACTACATTAAAGAATTACCAGAACCAAGTAACTACAATGCTTATTCCCACAATTTTCTAGAGGCTGTGTAAACACAATTTAAATCCCTTTTTACTATTGTTCAACTGTATAATAATGAGTAATTTACTCCACCAAATAAGATATTTCTTCTCCTGAGAGTCACTTTAGATTTCCTGGCACAATTACCAACGATACCAGATAATTAGCTTTTCAAGTCCTGCCATGCAATTGGACAATATTCTTTGTCAGTTCCTTGCAGAACAGTAATTCCAGCATCAGCTATATAGCATGATCTAGAGGGTTGCTAATTTGAGGGCATCACAGTCACGCTGTGCTGTGATGAAAGATTACACAGTCACAAAGGAGAGATCAAAACAGGAGAAAAAAAACATTTGTCAAATATATATATATATATTTTTTACAATAAAAGCCAAATAGAGGAAATGGCTATTTTAAAAAAACGATAGACTACTTAAAAACTAGTTGAATCTTTGTTTAGCTTTTAAGTTTATGAGAGATCTCTTACTTCTATGTAGTTTCAGAATTGTGTAAGACATAGCAGTGAGAACTCGCTCTCCTTCAAGTATGTAGATATCCCATATCCTGAGAGTTAATGTAAAGGGAGTCTGCAATGACAGAATCAGCCAGAAATGTCAAAACAGCTTGCCCCAACATATGACTAAAAATAGAAATATAAAAATATAAAGATACTCACACGATCAAGGAAACACTGAAAAAACCACTTCATTGTGTAAAAGCTCGTGGAGATCTCCTGGGAGTCCTGTAAAAAGCAACAATTTATAAATACTCAATTAAGAACGCTGCAATGTACTGCCTGGCACATAAAGGCCTCCCACTTTTTAACCTGGAGCAATAGCAAAGTACCTTCAGCCCAAAACTTGAAGTGAGCTGTTAGACTAACTCCTTCCCTATGTCTTGCTCACTGTACAATTGAACTTAGCTGCTACTGCTGTCTGGGCACAGTGTTCAACCATTCTTCACACAAAAGAATTCTGACTGTCTCAAACAATGTTGCTTCGGTCCAACAAATGCTTTCTCTCTCTTGTTTATATTTTTCATTCATCTCCTTTTTCTGAAGAGAGATGTAGATGTTTGAGGATGAGTATTAACAGATACCCCTGGAAACATTAAATCTTCCACTTATCGTCAGAACAAGTATAGAAGAGAGTGCACGTTACTTTCATGTTCTGGAGGAGCCAGAGCTCAGTCTGGAGGCCCATTTAATCTTTAACTTCTCTGCTGACAAGGCTGCTAGCAAGGGTGCCTATTAGTGCTAGATGGGGTGATGATCTTGTGGATATATATCCACCAGGAAACAGACTAAGACCATCAATTCATTTCACATAGGACCTCGAGTAATTAGAATGATAATGAATTTCACTTCCTACTAACAGGGGCTTAGTTTGAACTAGGGGTTTAAGAGATGAAAGATTTTGTATTCCATTAGTCATCTACTGTCTTCCCACCATGTACACAGTTTATATTTCTGCATAGGAAATATTATTTTCATTCTAAATAGGAAAAAGCTCACTATGCCTGAAATAACTTTCCATATCTTGAGTATCGATACCAGCTAACAGTAACAAGAGGCAGAAAGACATGCCAAGCTTATACATTTCTGTAATTGTAAAACCACTGCCATTCCTGTCACTTGCATTAGCACTAGTTACTATGTTGAAAGTCTTGGAGACTAGGCTGTTGTTTGAGTGGTGAGGCAGCCAAGAAATTAAGTGACACTGAATTTGTCTTCTCTGATGACTATGGGATAGCACAATTTTAAATTAAGCCTCCATGCCTGTCACAGTCAGCTATTTCACAAGTTTCGGAAACATAAGTTCTGAAATAATGAGGGACTGACAGTACAAGAGTCAATAGTCATCTGGCATGTTCACAGGCCATATACGTTTTGCCATTCCTTGCTGTTCTTCATTGCTCATACAGGTTCAGCAGGGGTCATCACAATCTAGTAGGTAAACAAATTCAGTCTCTTTGTTCAACCAGTGTTACAGCTCTCTCTCTCTCTCTCATTTTAAGGTATATATAATGAAAGTTTTTAAAGAGGTGGATTATTTGGAAAGACAAAACTATGGGATAGCTCAGTGGTATGAGCATTGGCCTGCTAAACCCACGGTTGTGAGTTCAATGCTTGAGAGGGCCATTTAGGGAACTGGGGTAAAAATCTGTCTGGGGATTGGTCCTGCGTTGGACTAGATGACCTTCTGAGGTCCCTTCCAACCCTGATATTCTACGATTGTTCTTTGGATTCAGGCCTGCGTTAGATCAGTAAAACCAATGGCATAGTCCAGTCTTGCAGATCCTGATATATAGAGTAGCGACTGGTTAATTGTATGTACAATGTTATATTATGTTATAGTCAAGACTCTGTAAACCATAACTTCCATTTGAAAATAATTATTCATAGGTATTATTAATGTAAGTAAGATGTGGCATATCCCCAGTGAGAAATTGTGACAATTAACTTCTAAAACCATCTGAAACCATCTTACAAAATAAAGCATTTATTTATAGGATGAGTCATTAAAACAAATGGGCTTGTTTGGGGATTTCCCAGTAAAACAAGGCGAATCAACAGTCTACTACATATAAGAAAATATAGTGGGTTAGGTTCTCAGTTGGTGTCAATTGATGTAGTTCCAATAAAAAAAATATCAATGCAGCTAAACTGATTTACTCCAGCACATGGCTTGGTATATATAATTCAAAGACGATCTAGCAGGTTCTCATAATGAATGTTTATTGAGATTTCATATATTCCTGTTTTCAACTGGCTCAAAGTTCCCTCAGAAGGTGAGTGCTATTAAGATACTCTAAGTAAAGTATGTCTACACTAGATATGCTACTGCAGCTGACATTCTGTAGATCTTTCTCAAGAGGTTCTGAGGAAAAACTATTCTTGGTTATTAAATATATTATAGTGGATATGGGCAATAACATCATATCAGCAGAATGACTGACCACCATGAAGTTTTGTTATCTAGTCATATCCTATTGCTCTTATTAAATATTATTTTACTTGTTGGTTTACTTCGATTTATTAAAAGCATCTATTCAAAAACGAAGGGCCGAGAGTATAGCACTGTCCATTATAACCAGTGGCTCTATGCCTGGTAAGCCAAAATCCTCGAAAATTAAAGCAAGAAGCAGCTCTGACCTATAGTCCAAAGCCTTCATGAACTCTACTGTGAAAATTGAAGCCATAATTTTCATTCCAGAGGCAAGTGAGCTACTGGATCTCTGTTTTCACTACACAGTAAGTAGTTTAAAAAAAATCACAAGATACACCCTGTGATTTTGGATTAATCTTTTACTGTAATGAAGAGAATGTTTCCAAACTAATATATGTTGTAGCATGGCCTGAATAAGTCTCAGCACATTGTAAAAAAAATTGATTAGATTTTAGTATATACTATTCATGTTCAATAGAAACAGATTTTAGTAGAATCTGAGCCAGCTACAGTCATCAGGAAGTTATTCTCGCCATAATGCATGTGTGTACCATTCCCACTAAAAAGGTTACATGAACATTACTTATTGTTTGGCTTGAATGTGCTCAACATTGTAATGAAAATAACAAACACAGTCCCAGCCCAAGGATTTCATAACTGAGAGGTAAGCAGAGTGTACACTCTATTTCTTATGCCCAAGTTCTGAAAAAAATTCATTCCTCCTACCACGGCTACCCTTTGGGTGAAGAAGCGGCTACTCATCTTGCGCAGTAGTTGCAGTTCTTTGAGATGTGTCCCCCTATGGGTGCTCCACTTAAGATGCGCCTGCTCCCCTTGAGCCCTTGATCAGAAATTTTTCTAATAGTCACATCCTTTTTACCCACTCATGTGTCCTATGTATCCTTGTGCTGCACACTGAGGGTATATAGCCCCCAGTTCCTTCTCCATCCAAATATCCTAAGAGAACATCGGAAGGAGGGTGGGTAGTGGAGCATGCATTGGGACATATATCTTGAAGAATTGTAGTTACTGCAGAAGGTGACCTCTTCTTCTTGAGTAGGATCCCTATGTGTGCTCCACTTCAAGTAGTACTTTGAAGAGTAACTTCTTTTTCTTCTTCTTCTTCAATAGGTGTCCTTATGTGTGCTCTATTTCAAGTGATGCCCAAGCAGGATCCCCAGAAGGAGGAGGAAGCTTCAGAATTGAGTCTAGAACTGAAGATAGTACCGCATTACCAAGTGCCACATAGGAGCTGGTGGCACGGATCAAGGCAGAGTGCTTAGAAAATGATTGTGCTGAAGCCCATGTAGCGGCTGTACATATCTTAGATATTGGGATGTACTTGAGTAATGCTGTGGATGTTGCTTCTAGTCTGGGAGTGTGTGCTATCACCCTTTGGGAGGGTTGAGCAGCAGCTGTATCGTAACAGGCAACAATACATGAGAGATCCATCTCGACAGTCTCTCAAGAGAGACTGCGAACCGCTTGGATTTGTCTGCAATGGAAAAAACTGCCTATGTGACTTCTGAAATTGCGTGGTCATATCTAGGTAGAAAGCCAATATTATTCCTTTCTAACATCTAAGGTAGTAAAACAGGTCTCCTGTTGAGATGTATGCAGTTTTGGGAAAAAACACTGGTAGATGAATGGACTGGTTAAGATGAAATTCCGATAGTACCTTAGGTAAGAATTTATGGTGTGGCGTAAAGAGACCTTGTCCTTGAAGAACACCATAAAGGGGGGATCCGCCATCAAGGCCCCAAGGGACCAACTTGACAGTTACCTAAAAGGACATTTTCATACATAAGTGGAGCAAGGAACAGGTTGCCATTGGCTTGTATGTAAGTCTCATGAGATATTTAAGAACCAAGTTGAGGTCCCAAGTCAGAGTGGGAACTCTAACATGGGGATAAAGGTTCCCAAACATTTAATAAATCTTGGCGACATAGGGTGAGCAAATGGTTCTGGCTAATAATTCGCCATCCAAGATGATGGGCTAAGATTGTTCCCTATGTTCCTAAGGAAAGTATTCAATAAAAGCCAGTTTATAAAATTATATTTGGCCATGATCACCTATAGTTTGTCATCTGAAATTGCAGGGTCATGGACGAATAAGACTTCCATTCAGAAAGGTCTAGTCTTTTTTGGTCCTTGTCATACAGCGTAGGCTTGGAGTAGCATTGCTTACCCCATTCATTTATTGCATCTATCACCAGGGAGTTAGGTGCGGAGAGGCAGAACAAAAATTTGGAGTCTTTGGGGGGAACATAATATTTTTTATCCTCCCATTTACAAGTTGGTGGAATGATAGCAGGTGTTTGCCACACTGTCTTTGCCAGGAGCGTCTCATTAACAGGTAACACAACCCTAGGGAATGTTGCTGACTTCAAGATTTTAGACCTTGACTTCTTGGAATAGTATTTGAAGAGTGTCAGCTACCTCTTTATAAGGTAATCAAATTGCCAGAAATTGTCAGCCAGGAACAGTGGTGGAAGCATAACCGCCTCATCTGAAGACAAGGCCACCACTCAAATAAGAGTGAGTGGTGGCCTTCTTATGCACCGTAGCCCCCTACTCCTCCAACTTCTTCTGTTGGTGGGCTGGTTGGGGAGAAGACTATTGGAAAACTCTAGTCTTCCTATGTGATGGAGTCGGTGGTCTGGCAAACTGCTGCCGATACACAGCCCACAGATCTCAGTATGGCCACTGAGAGGGCTCATATGGGGGAGGAGGTGACATTCACAGTTGGTTCCACCACATTTCTTGTTGCGCACAAGGTTCTTCCTAAAAGTGT